CTTCTTTTTTATGTTAATATACTTTTATGTATTGTACATTTCAAATGTGCCATATTTTTGTTGACAATATCACTTTCATACTGTGCTGTTGTTTTACTGTCTACTTATGTACAATAAAATCGTTTGTAAACAACAAAAAAAAAAAATTACTGCTATGGACTCTTGAGGAAGAGGAGAAAAATCACACATTATCAGTACTCTAAAAGAAAGTGGCTGCTATGCTCCCTTGAGGACTGCTTGCTTTTTAACGCCCTCCCTGCTACTTGACACATTGAAGTGCTGTTCCCACGTAGCTCTTTGCTGCAGAGTCTTGTATTTCCCATGAATGTGGCTTCCAAATGCCATATACTTTTTTTCAAATCTAATACGCTGCAGGCAGAGGCTACAAAACACATCACTGCTGTAGGCTAAAAATATGTTCAAAAAGGCATACTTCGTAGGGCTATTTTAGTTTACTGCCTGTTCAAGTGTTTGCATATTATCTTTATGCTAGATTTCTAACAAACTTATAACTAAAGTCTATATTTAGAATATTTTGGGAATAGCTAGAGATATGATAAGGGGAGGGAGTTGGTTTTAGCTTTTTTTTAACCGCTTACCAACTGCCCTATAACTACTGCTACAGGGAGGCAGGACTGCGCAAAATCACGGATATATGCATAATGTTGTATTTCCGGGCAGGGGGAGCATGGTCTGCCCTACCTGCGCCATCATTTGTGGCTACAGCTGTCGATCTCCGAGTCCCAGCCAGAGATTCCCTGACGGCATTTGCCGAGGAACACTGAAAGGGGAGAGGTCTGTATGTAAACAATCTCTCCCCTGGCAGCACCAGCATGCTGTTTTGTATTGCTCTTCATAGCAGAGCAACATAAAGCAGCGTGCTTACACAGTAAAACAGCACATAATGTAAAACACAGCATACAGTTAACTCTTTGATCGCCCCAGATGTTAACCCCTTCCTGCCCAGTATCATTAGTACAGTGTCAGTGCTTTTTATTAGCACTGATCACTGTATTGGTGTCACTGAGGATGTCAGTGACAGTCAGTTCCCACCCAGTGTCAGAATGCCCGCCGCAGTCCTGCTATAAGTATCTAATCACCGCCATTAGTAGTATAAAAAAAAACCAACCTCCAGTATATATACTGCCATTTGTAGATGCTATACCTTTCACGTAAACCAATTCATTTGAACGTATTGGGATTCTTTTTACTGGATAAGTTTTATAGCAAAAAGTAAAAAAATTTAAAATACGGAGGCGATCAAATACCACCGAAAGATGGATTCAGCATTGCATGACCGCGCAATTGTCAATTAAAGTAACACAGCGCCGTATCGCTGTGTTACTTTAATACAATCTCCATAAGGATTGTAATTTCATACTACCTACTGCCAATCCACTTTTGCGAAGGAGGAATTTATATGGATTTGTGTCATAAGTATGAGCCTCTCAGCTTATTATAGAAGCGTGAACACAATTTATATCATGTGAGTGCATTACGGGCAGCATTTTTTTGGAATAAAGAGTTTTTATACAGTATTGCACTATTTGTGTTTTTATTTGTTTTTCATTGCCATCTAAATGTTGGATTTGTTTTTGGAGGATATCAAGTGCAGATGTATCTGGGGAGGATACACCCCGTTTTAGAGCTTGTTTGACTCTTTAGCCATACCAGCAAAGAGTCCACTCCATCTGGTGAGTGGGGATTGGATTGTCCATCACAAATGGTGTGAGCACTTTTTTTGAAGATTTTGCTGAGCACTATTTCTGGGATTGGAGCACATTCTTATATTTGGGACTTTTGTTTGGACTTTTTACACATGTATATATTTTTTGCGCTGTGGAGTGTTTATATTTTAATAATCTTCACATTTTTAGGGTTAACAAACTCCTTAGTATTGCTCAAGAAAGTACATGCCTTATAGTGACCACACCTGAAACTACCTTTTGGTTTCTCAGGTAGTCAAGTGTGTTTGATGTTTTAGATGTTTTTTTCTAGATGACTATGTACTAGCATATCTCTCAAATTCTTACCCCGTCTGTAGGTTATCTTGGGGTCTTTAGATAGGATCTGTTATAGATATATGCTCTGATTTATTTGAATATTTACCCATGATACACATGTCTTGCTGGTCCTCCACTTTTATGGTTTTCTGACCCAACAGAGATTCTCTCGGAACTTATATGTATGTGATTAATATTATATGATATGTTATATGTTATATATTGTATTTTATAAATGAATTTATTATGATATATATTGATGATGATTTTGTTTTATTAAATATATTTATAAATTGTTTTGATGATTGATGAAGGTATATTGTGATATATGAAATTGAAAATTAGTGATAAAATATTATAGTTATTGTGAATGATGCCTTTCGCTTTCTCATAGGGTTTAATCAAATCAGTCTTATGATAGCCACGTCTCATTAATCTGTCAAACATTTTTGACTCTCCATTTGGAATGCCCCTTCCGCTGAACAATTTCTCTTTTCTCTCATAAATTGACTAGTGGGGAATCCTCTTTTCAAGGCTGCTGGATGTGAACTTTCCCATTGTAACAGGCTATTCGTGGAGGTCGGTTTTCGATATTGTATTAATATTGCCTCCTTCACCCTCTTTAATCTTCTTTTAGGAGAGGTCTGTACTGCGTTTAATACAGTGCATCATTTGCATTCCTCAAAACAGTGAGGTATTTTTGACTGGATATGGTGATGTATGGGGCTTATCCATGAGAGGCTGACATTTAAGCCCGTGGATGAGTGTACCCGTATTACATATCTGTAGCAAGATAGATTATACTATCTAATTAGTTTTGTCCATGGGGTAACTCCATTTACTTAACAGAGATTATATATTCAAGCTGATAGATTTATGATCAAACTACAGTGCCTCTTTGTATGCCATCACTTCATCTAACATGGTATGCTATTTGATTTGGTCTGGTGTTATTAACCATTTCGATAAGGTATAAGGTAAATAATTGCAATGGTATACAGTCATATTGTTGTACGCAGTACATTCCACTCCAATAGGCATTAATTACAGCTGAGCATACATTTTTTATATATTTGATTAAAGGTTATATATTTTAGATTCATCAATTGGCCAGATGGTGCATAGGGAAATGCACCCTCGTCCAGTATAAATCTGTGCAGCATTAGTACTGATCACTGTATTAGTGTCACTATTGATGCCAGTGTTAGTTACTGTCCCTCTTAGCCATCAGCTAGCACCAGATTGCCCACCACATTATCATAGTACCACTATAAGTCACTTATCACTGCCTTTACTAGTATAGTATAATGCATAAATTCCAGTGTATGTACTGTATACAATAGTTTGTAGTAATAAAACACAATGAGGTGCTGCTGTTTTATTAAATCCAAACAATAATGCCTGACAGATTGCCCGACACATTATCACAGTACCACTCTAAGTCGCTTATCACTGCCATTACTAGTATAGTATAATGCATAAATTCCAGTGTATATATACCATAGTTTGCAGATGCTATATCTTTTGCACAAACCAATTAATATACACTTTATTGGGGGGGGGGGGGTTTACCAAAGAAATGTAACGGAATACATTTTAGCCTAAATTTATGAAAAAGTTATATTTTTATTTATTGGATATGTTTTATAACAAAATTTTTGGTCTTCTTTCATTTAGATAGCAAAAAATAAAAACCAAGTGGTGATCAAATCCCATCAAAAGGAAGCTCTATTTCTTTTTTTTGGGTTGGCGGTTGGCATTCATCATGAGTGATGCTGGATCACAGGGGCCAATTTTTTTTTTCTTTAATAAAGGACTTGTCAAAAAACGTTGTTGCATTTTTACTTTTTATTTGCCACTTCTTTGGTGAATGAGTACTCTGTACCCCATTACATAGAGGGGATGCTGGGATCTGGGGGCCCCCTTGTTAAAGTGGGCTTTCAGATTCCGTTAATCCCCCTGACCGCGTACCCCCACAACCACTGGCCAGGGTTGTGGAGAAGAGACCCTTGTCCTCATCAAGATGAGGACAAGGTGCTTTGGGGGGCAGCCCCCTGTGCCCACAGCAACCTCCCAATGTTGAGGGCATGTGGCCTGGTATGGTTCGGGGGGGGGGGTGCTCGCTCATCCCTTGCTTTTCTGACCTGCTGAACTGCATGTTCAGATAAGGGTCTGGTATGGATCTTTTTTTTTTTTTTTTTTTTTTTTTTTTTTATATTGTGGCATGGAGTTGCCCTCAAAATCCATACAAGATTTAAGGGGCAGATGATGACTCATCGGTTGTTAAGGATGTAGCAACCTCCCACTCTTTAGCAACCACTTTGTTTACTGGTTGTTAAGGATGCTGATGGCTTCCAGCTCCTTCATTGTCGCATGCCTGGACTACTACTTATTTACCGCTTGCATTTATTTATTTCCTTTTGTGAACTGACTTCAACTCCTGTTTTATGTGTTTTTTACTGAGTGTTTTTGCAATTAAGCAATAGTGAATTGACATTTTCAGGGTCGTATAAGGTATTTGGGAGAATGTCTAAATACCGCATGCAATCTGTTTTTGTGACTGGAGCCCAGTACCAGACTTCTCAGAGAGAGGTCACATCTAAATGTTGCTATGGGATCCCTTGATTTGTAGTTATGCCTTTGGTACCAACATGCATATGTAATAACCTGCTATAATGTCTTGGAATAAAATAAAATGTAATTTCTTTGTAATATGAATATTTTGGTTAGTTACTAATTAGCTACTTTGCATTTTTTAAACTGTCTATAATAATGCTCTAGTAAAAGTGTTTAGTGCTTAATGCCGTTAATACCATTAATATTGTATATGTTGCTGCAAAGCTACATAATGCTATAATTCTGCTCTAACTATTTATATATACTTTTACATCTGACAGATGATGAAAGCCATACAATAGTCACCATCCATAGCATTGAAGGCTAACTTTTGGTTCAAGATTAAAATCTTTACATTGATCTGTTTTCTCTTTATTTCAGCCTGTGCTGAAGCGTATGCCAAAACCGAAGAGCAGAATGGTTGTACTACAGGATGTAGAAAACAGCTTGCTGAAGCTGAAAGTCAGAAGGAAAAGGTAATTTATTTATAAGAGTTTTGAATTTACAAAAAAATAACCTGGGCCGGCTCCAAAATGTTGGACAGCGGCTGTTGAATTGCTTGAATTTGCATTTGTTGTGGCTTTGTTTATTAAATACTGTATTCTTTCCTTTTACATGAAGATTCTTGGCAGTTACAGGTAATCTCTAAACTGATACTCAAGGAATAACATTTTAAATTGCCTAAGCAAAACGTTAATCACTTTGTAATATTTAGTCTGAAGAGAAGAGACTAATTAGAGACAGGCATAAGCTTTGGGTTCAGAGTTGAACTTAGTCTGAACTTTGCCTGTTTCAAGAACAAACAAACTAAATGATGTGTTCATTCGAAACTTCGACCGCTGAATGTGACTGCTTCCAAATCAGGATGATTGTAAGAGAGCCGGTGGCAGCCAACTTCCTAGCAACCAGTGACATTTCATGCCTGACTATTCAGCTGTCATCCAGTGTGTCATGTACCTGGTGATGGAGCCTGACGTGGAGATGAAGGCGTCCTCTTAAACCTCCTGCTCATTGCCCCTGATAGAGCAAATAGAAGGCACAAGAGCCAGGAGTGGCACAAGTGCCTGGCAGGTCTGCAATGTCAGCCGGCAGGTGGTTAGTCCGGTCGACCGGGATGCAGGTTAATTGCGGATGCAGGTGAGTAGAGGATGCAGGTCAGCAGGAGCAGCGGCTGGTAGATTCTAGCAGGAACTCGGTAACTGCAAGCAGTATTAGCAAATGGTGGTCATAAGCTGGAGAAGTAGCAGCGTCAGACAAGCCGGGTCGGGATCTATCAGGCGGATTAGGTACAGGGAGCAAGGCAAGTAGTAGAGGTTCAGACCAGAAGTCAGCAACCATAGGCAGATAGTAGGGGAACAGGCAAAGGCGTAGTCCAAGGGTAAGCTAGGTTGGTGCAGGCAGAGTTCAAGCAAGGTCAAGATAGGTCAGGTCGGCAATAGGATCAGTATACAACAGATAGCAGATAACAGAACATGGTAGAACAGAAGGCAAGGACTCCTAGTGCAGTAGCGGTTTAAATAGTCCGCCTGGCGCATGCGCACAGGTACGGCTGTTGGGTAATTGGCATTAGTGCAAAAATGAGCACCTGGGTATTCTCTGTTTTCCCTGACACAGTGAATCCCTGATAACAGCCTAATGTAAACAAAGGGGTCGGAATGGTGGCTTATTTGATCAATTACCATCTAGCCAAACATCCCCACTCCTTTGTTTTCAATATAGCTATCAGCCTGGTATCTGCCATTCCGCAAAAGTCTCAGTTGGCAGCAGATATGTTGTTGTTTTTTTTTTTTCTGGGGGTCATTGATTTTAATTGACAAGGATCTACATTGCTGGATGATATGATTGACAATAGATTTTTTTTTCTTTTAAATAAAAAACATGTCAAAGTATCCGGCCTACTTATTTACGGTTTTGTGAATGACTTGGGGTGCTATGTATTGCTCATTTATGTGGAGGGGCAGTTTCTGGGTCCCCAATATTTTCAAAGAGGGTTTCCAGATTCTGCTAAGCTGCCATATGACCCCACCCCCCCAATTCGGGACAAGGTCAGAAATTATTTTAAAGATTTGGCTCTTATGGAGTTCAATAGGGTTCAGATTACCACTGGACATGTGAGCCATTCGGCAAACCCATGGTCCCATGAACCAAACATTATAAGTACATTCAACTCAATCCAGATGTGTGTAAAGGTGTTTCTTGCTCCAATGTGTGCAACAGCCCATGTTTACACATCAGTGCAAACTATTAAATTGAATGTACTCTGGTACAGTATAATTTATTATGCATAGTTCCTATTAGCAAAATTACAGCATGTAGCTCAAAACTAATAATCTGGATGGAATTGAAGTGTTTGGATGCAATATCTAAGATATTAAAGTCCAACTCCAGCCAGTTTAAAAATTCTTTACTTGTAAAGTGTAGCACAGGGGAGGCTTTCCTGTCTCTAACGACCTGACTCTGTTGCTATCCCTATAGTGCACAGGATCCGGTCATGTAACATTACCATAATTTTTCTACAAGGGCTGCGTTGCCATCTTTACATCTCTTGCAATTATCCCACCACCCCCAAGTGGTTGACATCTTAGAAATAATGTAGAATATTTAACTTGTTGTAAGGAAGGGGTATGCTGCCAATGAAGCTGTGGTCTTCTACAGTATATGGGCAGTGACAAAACAGAGAACTCCCTGTTACTGCCCACTGAACACCGTAAAAACATCATAGTAGGATGTTCATGCAGCGGGTCACTGAACCCTCCTTCCAGTGTCCAACCTTACAAGTATATCAGCCTCTTTAATATGACATCAAAAGTAATAAAATATGTTGTTTTTAAATACTGTAGCTTGGAGAATTTGATAAAATAGTGCCTGGATCCCAGCATTTTTAAAAACAGGTGCACTATCTTGATATGTGCATGTTATGCTTATCTACACAATAAAATATATTCGATGCTATGAGTGTATCATGTGCCTGGGGACTAGACTTTTCTAAAAATGTAAAAGAACACCAGACCTTTTTTTTTGCTACCCACAAAGGGAAGATTTGCTACATTGGGAAGATTTACCTTGAGCAAGATAGACACAGACATTTCATCTATTTCTTCTCCTTTCTATTCTAATTTTAAGGGAGAAAAGATTTTGACTGGAGTTTCACTTTATGATTTTGACAAATTTATCAGCTAAACCCTGTTCTGTTTTGAAAGTAGGATAATAGTGGCAAACAAAGTTAAAATGTTGGGTGAGATTTCCTAATACCAGTAGTCTTTGAATCTGGTGCAGCTGTGCATGTGGCCAGTCAGCTTCTAATGTCAGTTTCTAAATTAAGCTTTGGCAATAAAACCTGGAACCTGATTGGTTTCCATGCACAGCTGCACCAGATTTTGCACTTTCCAGTTTTAGTAAATAACCCCCTGTTGCTTACCATCACAGCCCATTAGTTTATATTTAAAGCATTACTCTGCTGATTGCATAGCTTTTAGCCTGCTTCAGCAGGAGGACTGTCAGCCACAGCAACAAAATCACTGTTCTCAAAGTTTCAGGCTGGTGGTGGAGGACAGGCTGTATTAGTGACAGTGGGGCATTTTAGAAAGGACATATAAAAACATTGAAAAGCACCTAATTTGTTGCACTTAAAAATGATAGGTGCAAGCTAACTGCTGTAATGCCCCATAAATTGTTGCTTGATTGACCTATTTTGGAATTTCCATTTAATTTTTTAATTTTAATTCAGCTATAAGTACATTTTACCAGGTATAATTTAAATGACTATAGATGTGGTATATGATGTATCGTTTTATAGACAATATACCAGGGGCGGACTGACAACTCATGGGGCCCCCGGGCAATAGGAGATCATGGGGTCCCTGTGTCCTTGCCCAAACTCAAAAAAGCCTATGAAAAAGGTACCAGGGGCATCTCATGGGGCCCCCTACTGACCCCGGGCCCTCGGGCAATGCCCGAGTATCCAAATGGTTAGTCCGCCCCTGCAATATACTGTACATTGCACTGCCTGTTTGATTCTTTAAAACAGCACTGTCATTGACCATAGACAAAAACACACACAGTTAGCAGCTGTCAACAAACAGCCAAAGTTTTCTTTTGGAACTTGACAATGGGAACCTGCTGGAGTGTGTGAACCTGCAATTCATCATTGTGAGTAACAAATCAGAATGCAGACTTTGACATTCCTTGTGAACAATGGTTCTGTATCACACAGCTTTGTGTAGACAGCTTAGCAGAGCTGCCAGATAGGAATGTAAAGATGTACCTTATAGACAGTTATGCGTAGGATGGCTCTGTGTTATTGAGAAACAAGGTTTCTCCATTCCTGTGTGTTGGACTACAATTTTCTTCATGTTTGCAGAAAAATATATAGCAAAGCAAACTGAATCTTAAAGTCGGGGCATTTTATTCCCCAAGATTACTAATTTATTGTTGAAGCACATTTTTTAGGCTTTCAAAATTATTTCCTTCCCCTTACGCAAGTTAAACTTTGATTGTTGTTTGTTTAGGGTATACAGGTTCTGCCAAATATTGCAAATACGCTGTTTGGTACATGTACATTTTGTTTTCATTCTAAGCTTTAATTGAATCCAACCAGTTGTAAGTTATAGAGCAATAGGAACAATAGGTGAAAAACATCAGTGTCTTATTACAATGCAAACACAGCAAAGATGGGATCGGTAAATCGGGGATCGGTAACTGTCAAAATTAGTTATATATTCAATAACTTACTGTGTATGAAAGCAGTTAGGCATTGGGCAAGGCATATAATAATTAGGGTGTTATATACGGCATGGAATACTATACACAACTGCATGGGAGGACCATGAAGTTTTTATCATTTTTTTGGGGGGGGAGTATGTGGGTGGGGAAACCAGACACCCACATAAGGGAATAGACACGGGTATAGACACCACTACAGAAATACAAAAAAAAGAAAAGAAAAAGGGGGAGGGGGGGTTGACAGGACAAAAAAGACCATAGAAGCAAAAACAGGAATTACCAGAGCAATATCAATATTATTGAGCCAGCTATGTGTGGTAGTCTTGAGAGAATGAGAAGATATTCCAATAAAACAAAATCTTCTGCTGTTGTTCCTCTTTCCGCAGTGAGTTCCTCCATTGGCTGGATCTCCTCAACTATGGCAAACCATTGACCCATCAAGGGAGGTTCTATATACCTATTCTTATGGGAAATATAGATCCTTGCCAAGCTTATCAGATAAACGAAGGGCAATTTCTTGTAATAGCATTTGGAATGGTACATGTACTGTATATTTAACAGTGCTATTGATGCTTGCAATTACATACAATGCAATGTTGCAAAAAACACACATTGTTCTACAGTTATTTAGCACAATGTTAAAATATGTTTTGGTTTGAATGTAATGATTGGAAAAAGTTGTAAAACTCTAAGAAAACCTTATCGAATTAAAAAAAAAAAAAAAAAAAAAAATAAATATATATATATATATATA